ATATGTTTAATAGTAATTTGTTTTTGAGTATAGAATGTGATAAAGAGGAGTTTTTATATGATGTGATTATAGAGGGGTGACTGTAGAGAGGGATGACTGTAAAAGGTCATTAATTCGAGAAAATGTGTAGGTGTTCTTTTGTGTGACTGTATTCAACCAGCAGAAATCGATACAGACCCTCAATTTCTCATCTTTTTTGGGTACTATAACAACTGATTATGTTTAGAGGCTATTGGAGGGTTGAATCAAACCCTATTCTTGTATTTTTTTTTAATTCTTTTTTATAAACTCTTGTTTATTAGGAGCAGTACAGTATGGGTTCTGTTTTTAAGTTGAGTGTCACCAGTATTGATTTGGTAGGTTATTACTGCTATTTCACCTAACTCTCTAGTATCTTGGATGAATAGTTTTTTTTCTTGCTAGAAAAATCACCTAGCCTGGGCACATTGTTGGTCATCAAAGTTCTTATCTTGGATAAATTCTTCCAAACATTCATCAATAGTTTGTTTTAGAGGTTCTTTGTTGCAGGTTGGTATTTCTTCTATTGACGTTATGTATATACAGAGATTTTGGTTTTTACCCATGAGTTATTATACAACCCATTTTGTTTGGTATCTGATTTCTTGGTATAGTATCTGTTGATTTTGTCTAATACTTCATCTTTGTAGATAAATTCAATGAACATATCACTGCTATCACTTCCTACATCTATGATTTTAGTCTTGGGAGCTTGAGGTCATCATTGCTGGTGTTAAAAATAGGCACTTCAATAATTCAACACTGGTGTTTTAGGTACAACTATCATTCATTAAAGTGTAGTCAGGCTTGAGCTTTCAGGAACCAATCAGTTTTAGTAACAGTGTTTTATCTGATAATTTGATAACTTGAAAGGTGCTGGGTATAATGTCATCCTGGATTACTATACTCATGTTAGTAATCTAATGCAAAGCCCATGTTTTTGCCCCAGTGGCTGTGACAATGACTATCATTGATTTTTTTGGATCTTTAGCTCTAGTTTTGTAGAGCAGCCTCTTCATTATTATACTAACAGCAGCCTGGAGTTTAATACAGCTATCATGGGGTTGTTTTTGATTCATACATAATATTATGTAATAGTGGTTTGTCTTGACTTGGCTAGCTTAACGTGGATGGCTTCTTGAGAAGAGTTTTTTTGGGTTTGGCATTGTGGTCAACATACAACCTTGGCTAGGTTTTGGCATTAGTTCGGATATTGGAATATTTGACCAATAGTAGCATTTGCAGACATGGTCAAAATGTCCTTTGTTATGTTGTAGGAGGCCAGTTTATTGATTATAGATAGATTCCTTTTTCTTCTGAGTTTCTTTAACAGAGCATATGCATCTTTGTCTATTAGTTCTAATTCTACCTCAAGAGTTACTAGTTTGTTACCACCTCTTTCTCAAGGCCTTAATTGATCTTTCTAGATTACTCCAAGTTGAATCTAGATTCTTTTTTTCTAGTAGTTGCTGCTACTAGAGTAGGGTTAGGATTGTTTTTCTCCAAGAGTATTAATTTAGTCTTCTGCTTATTCTTCTTCATCAATATTCTATTAGTTTAGCCACCC